ATAACAAAAGAAAAAAAAATTAATTTACATATAAGGGATGGTTTCATCCCTTTAAGCCGTTTTTTTAGCACCAACTAATAATTTCTAAATTCATCTATTTATGTGACCTCAAAGTGTACCAAGTTTCATTAAAATCAGAATTTGACACTTCGCGAGGTTCCCTTGTAAGTTTGATTTAGCTATTGAAATTTAGTTACTCTATTACTAAGTCATTTTTTAATCGCGTGGATATATTAATTTTATAATTAACTTTTATTGCGCCAAAAATTACTAATTGTAAGTAACAGAAAAATCCCATTTTTTTTATTTACAGATTAGAATAGATTTTATATTACAGACTTAGATTAAATCTTTTTTTATTATTATTATTGATATTGTCTCTCTTCCATTTCATTTATTTACGCTAACTTCATTTATTCGCACAAGAAATTATATTGAATAACAGAAATCTCAGAATATCATTTTACGCGATTAAATCTTTAGTTTTGTAAAGTGTAATTTGCGAGGTAATTTCTCTCGACGCTTTCACAAGCAACGCATTTCCAACTGATGCTTCAGAACGCGAGGGTGGCACTCAGCAGCCGGCCAGCGTGTGCGACGTCGAATATTACGGGTTGACGTCACCGGTGGAGGGTTCGGTGGTGCATCCGGAACCGCATCGGCTGTTCGCCATGGAAGGCCCGGTGAAGTGCAGGCAGCACTTTATACCGGCGCCCAACCAGTCGGTGGTCATTACCGTGAGTTCTGCCGACGAAATGTCTAAATCTCTATCGCGTTCGTTTGATCGATCAGGCCGAGGGAATTAAATTCCTCGTCGATTTATTCTCAATTTTTAGACGCGCGTAAACAAAAATTCCTCGCAGTTGTTAAATTTACTCGAAGGAGAAAAAGCTCTCTCTCTCTCTCTCTCTCGTAAACATCATGCGCGAGAGAGTTTTAGGATCCGAAAACTAAAACTTTCTATATCTGTACGCGCGGCGGCGAGCCTTTAATCCGCGTAGAAATAATATTCCGCGGGATCAGACGCGGTACCGAAGGCGAGACCACGGTGATTCAGCCACGGCCACGGTGCAGGTTTCAGTAACTCCTGCGAGAACGATAAAGTGCAACAATTGAATTCCTGATGGAAACATACCAACTGTAATCCCACGCTGAACGATACGAACGTCGCGCGTCTGTGTTGCGAATCCGTTGCGCACAACCGGGAAAATCGTGCAACTTTAATCCCTTACGTCGCGCGTACATAACTCATCCCTTCGCGCGATATTATACACATATATATATATATATTTAAAAATTTGGATTTTTGAAAAGCCTAAATATAACGCAATTATAAGGTACATAAAAAATCATAAAAGTATTATTTAAAACGTTTCTTGTATATCTTATTGTTTCGACGACAATTGCTTAGAATCGAATATGAACGTTAACTTTCAAAAATTGTTTCATCTCTTAAATCTCCAAATGGACACGTATAAAAAAAAATACGATTTTTTTAGATTTTTGTATTTATAACAGTGCATCAATGAGAATCAAATCGATTCCGGACAGCTGTCATATGTCCCTCGCCGCGGGGGAAAACAACTGCGAACAAATTTCAATCGTGGAAACTGCACGTAATAGTATCGTCGCGATAATTAATTGACCGTGTTTTCGCTATTCTTTTAGCCTCCTTCCCTTCGTCCCGTAAAACAGGTTTTTACTCGCGCTTATTGGAACGCTGATGCCCCTCTGTGTTTGCAGGTGAAGGGTAGCACGAAGCAGACGCCGAACAACCCGTGCGAGACCAAGTGCGGCGACAGCGGCTGCCACTGCGTCAGCAAGTCCCTGGAGAGCATGGACCACCTCCTGCTCGTCTCCGAGACCGGACACATTGTCACCTGTCTCTGCGGGAATTACCAGGTAAGCGCGCGGAAAAACTTTATTCCGTGGTCCTCTCTTTCTCCCCCCCCCCTCCCCCACGCCTCCCCGAATGAGCGTCTCGACGGAGCGCGGCCGCACTTCCGTCGCGCCTCCCCCTTGAATTGCCGCGCGAGATAAAAGCTATCGTTATTACGGCAACTTTTATATCCTCCGCATTGTCACGCGAAAACGTCGGCGATGTCGTTAAAATACATCGCTCGCTACACGCAATTTTCTGCGAATGACTCTTTATGTTTATCATACCGTTTCTTTCGCGGCGTTCAAGATAATTCCTTTTTTTTTCTCTCCTAGAAAGAAAATTCATTACGCGCGCCTGACTTTCTTGAAAATCTGAAATACATTTTTTCCTGTTATCGATTCAACCGTCGATTAACCGTAAAGTGAGACTGTTCCGAGGACGATTATTACTATACGTATTTGCGGAAAATTAATTTCGTATAATATATACAATGTTATGAACGCTCGCATGAATTGTATATTACTTTCATTAATGTGGTTTCATCACAATGTTGTGTAAACAATGTGGGTAAAAATTTGATTGTGCAGTAATCCACGTTATTTTTAGTAGATTCAATACACAATTGTCACAACAAACGTACCAGTGTATAAAAATAAAATAAAAAACGCATTCGCAAACGCGCTCGTGCTTCGAACTTTACTTCAGTCTTTGATATTTATATTTAGACGGAAAAATGTCGGCGCGAAAAATAATTCATTTAGCGCAAAATCTCTGTTTGCGACAATCTCCGCGCGCAATACACCGCACAACTGACCTGACTTTGACTCTATATCCACACGATGATTATTAATAGACGTATTATCGGATTACACCTGATCGAGTGTAATCGTTATGGCGACTCTATAAACGGTAATACGATTTCGATTCGTGGGATCATCATTTCATATTCAAATGCTCATTATTCCGACACAATTGAGGCTATCATGCAAACAACAAGCTGAATTTACGTGTAATTTAACTGTATATATGATTAAATCCTTCGAAATCCGCGATTGATAATTAAGCGTACTGCCCGATTGTCAATAAGTCAGTTATATTCCACCCATTATCAATATCTTAAATTTATTATGTTAATATTGAGTGCACCCCATTCGCATTTCGTCTCGACTTTACTTTATCGGCGGTGTATTATTGGTGTATTATCTTAATTTCTCAATAATTCTTTTTTAGCCCACGCTTTTTTCATTCTTTCGAAACTGCTCACGTTGATTTTCCACGTTGTACTCCTCGGTCCTGATCACTTCGTCCGTCTAACGCGGGGATCTGTTATCGCGCAGGATTGGCTTCCGGTAGGCATCCGTAGCTGGACCCCGGTCTACATCGAGTGGTCGAGGTCGTCGAGGGCGGGTCTCAATTTCCACGCGGCCTACAAGTTTATCAATGACACTTACTGCGGCGATCACACAACGGCGGAGCCGGAAGGCGAGGTCAATGGCGGTGATCTGGCGAGCGCCGGGCTCCAGCTGAATCAGTATTACCAGCAGAAGTGCACCTGGATCCTGGACTCGCCGATCGACCGGCAGCTCATCATCGAAGTCAAGTCCACTCAGAGCCGTGAGTATAGTCCTTGCGTCTGTACCAGCTCCTCGTTCGCAGGAGTTGCTCCAACTTTATTTACACTTTCACAATGTCCTCTAAATATATATATTTAAAAATGACTCATGTGTGCACTTTGAGACTCCAAGTTAAAGCTCTAATTTAATAATGATAATGCATAGTTATATTATTATATTTATTATATTCACATTGCAAAAAAAATTTTTTTTTTGTAGAGTTTCGTGTAAGTGAAGAGCATTCGTAATGGATTTGCTTTAGTAATAATTATATGCTGGTCGTTTTTTTTAATCTCGAATCAAAGAAATGTAGTTATTCTTGGAATTCGTTAGCCCGTAGTTTTATATATCTTGCAAGAAAAGCTGCGAGCAGTTTAATAGCACGAAAATGATTTATCTGAGAGTACCTATCTACGTCTCGCGGGAGAACATTCGAGCGATTTATCTTCGAGCGGCATTAAAAGAAAACAAAAAGCAACTGCGTTCCGAAGCGGCGTATCTTTCGCAGATCTCGAACATTAAGAATCCCCACGTTACTGTAGCGCAATTAATTTCTTTGCCGTAACGAACCTGTTGATATTTCCGCTGAAATTGTTTCGACTTAACAACGTATATACTTGTATATATGCTATATACTTGTATATATGTTCATTTCCAAATGAGCACGTTCACGAAACTGCAACTGTATAATTTCAATGTTTTTATCACTTTGTGAAAGTCCATTGTCGCATTAATGCTCTTATTATTGAAAAAAAAGCTCTTCGGAGGATTCAAAAATGTTAAAAGAAAGCAACTTTTAAGCTGAAAACAGTGTCGCCTCGATACCTCTTTGCCGTGAGATTATTATCTCGAGGACAACATTCTTTTCGTCATTGTTATCCTTAACGACGTTTCCCTTTCCGCCCTCCCCCGCTATCGCCTTTATGGCTCTTATATGTAGTTCGATAAGCGCGGCAAAATTCTAGTCTGCGTCCCGCAATAGGATTCCATTCGCAGAATTCTATCCGCGAAATTCTATTTCGATCTGCCCGGTCGCGGGGCTCGAGAGAAAACAGAGATAGATCATCCTCCGCGCGACGCACCCCGTCTCTGGCGACGACACGGCGAAATCTTCTCTCGATTGCTTTTCTTCCGAGACCGCCGGAATTTTCTATCCGCGCCATTGGCTCCGCCGTCGCCGTCGCCGCCGCCGCCGCCGCCGCCGCGGCAAACGAAAGGGTGAAAGTTGTGGAAGAATAAGTCGGAAAGGGTGAGAGAGAAAGAGAGAGAGAGAGAGAAAGGGAGAGAGGACGTCGCGGCTCGGCCGACCGAAGAGACAGAGGAGCGCGGGTGCGAAACGAATGGCAGTGGGTCGCGAGATTAAAGAGACCATCGGATTTACCGCGACAACGGAAGCTAAAGCTTCACCGTGTAGAAACCACGATGTAGTCCTCCCTCTCTCTCTCTCTCTCTCTCTCTCTCTCTCTCTCTCTCTCTCTCTCTCTCTCTCTCTCTTTCTCTCACACCCTGTCACGTTTCTCGCGTCATTCTCCCCCCTCTTTCGCCCCTTTTCACCTTCGACGCCTTCCCGCCTTTCCCATTTCTGCGGCACGTAAATCGTCATCTTACGAGCGCGCGACAAAGGCGACCATCTATCGCTCATATTCGAGCCTGGGAATATTACGATTGTTCCTCTCGGGTGAAATGCAGCGTGAGGAATATTGTTCCTTCTGATGCAAGAATAGCTTGGCAGTCGCGGGGTTTTTACTTTTATTTCTGCGCGACTGTATATACGCAACCGTCTCTCCCTCTTGAAAGTGATCGCTCATGCTATCGATTTTCTTTTTTACTGCAGCGCGATATGATTATAATTTGAAGCGATTTATTTATTTTTCAATACCATTCTCGCTCAATTTCAGTTTTCCTGTTTTCTCTTGAAACTCTTGTTATACGACGTTATATCGATCGATGCTGCGGGATGTATGTACATATGTGATAGCACAATGAATTGTGATCTGTACGCTCGTACGGGGAAATATCATTTATTGGATGCGGAGAATATCCTCTGCAATGTTTCAAGAAAATGGGGTTTTATTGGTCCACGAATATATATATGTATATATATATATATATATATATATATATATATATATGTATGTATGTACATATGAAAGATGGAATATCGAACTCGGTACAGGAAGCTTTGATTTATGCGGATAGATTACTGAGATTCGGAAAAAATACAAAAAAAAAAGGAAGAGGAACATTTCCATTCCACGTGCACCCTGTCTTTCTTATGTCAACATCTTTGGATGGCAATTACGGCGCGCGTATTTATTCGCCAGAGGAGCGCGGCAATAAGTAACGAGTGAATTATTAAATGAATTAATGAGGCTTCGTGCATTTCTATGAAACCGTCTCCCCCCCCTCTCTCTCTCTCGCCCCCGCTTTATGAACCGCCGCGAATCGAATTACTCCCGGCGACGACACTCTCCATCCGCAACTTCGCCATAGAAATGTCGCTGTCCCTCCTTCCCTTCCCCCCTCCCCTCCTCCTCATCCCTGTTCCTTTCATCTTCTCGTTCTCTGCCTTCGCTCCATAGCTTTTTCATTTTCTTCTTCCTCGCCACCTTACGGAACATTATAAGTAGAGTCGGAATCGTAACCAAAGCCCGGCAAACGCCGCCACCGGAAATGGCTTTAATATACCTCTCAAGCCACCGTGGTATCACCAGCGCGGTTACCACACGGTGCTTCCCTCCTTCTGTATTCTCTCCTTCCAGTTACAACACTTCTTACGAAATTTCATTCCTCTTTGAATGGCGCATTTTCTGCAGCGTGAAAGGTTCGCCATGATTGTTTATCACACAGACAAGAATCCTGGCAATAAACAAGATTATTAGACCTCTCGTGCATGCATATTGCCTCTTGTGGGATACAAAATAAGAAAGGAAGGAATAGGTATATTTTTCGCACAATTGTTGCGAATTCTTAATTATTACGCGTATATTCAAATAATGAGATTAATCATCGAATTACTTTGAAACTTACTTTCGCTTCTGACGAGGAAACGTTTTATATTGCAAAAGTAATAACAAGAAACTGACGTTACTATGTCGAAAGATCATGTTTGAAATAAGTATTCTAGATGATCAAATTAATCTTGGGATCTTATGGATTCTGCATCCGACAGAATTGTTAGGCCGAAACATGTTTTTGCCGATCATATTGACATAGACACCGAAATATCTAAAAAATGCATTAAAAAAAAAATTGTTTTAAATAAAAATCGTAGGATTCAAAGGGAACAAGATTCAAATTATCAGGTACAGGTTTTCTTTATTTCTTTTTCTATAGAATACGAATCTAAAACATAAGTATTTCTATCAAAAAAATCAACCTAGGCTTTATTGGGTCTAAAATGGATTTTGAACCCAAAAGTAGATCATTTTTGATAGTCCTTTTCGAATCCTACAACTTTTATTTAAAACATTTTGTTTTTAAATGCATTGTTTTTGAAAATACCTATTTCAAACATGATCTTTCGACTGTTAGTTTCTTGATATCTCTTTTGCAATACAAAAAACGTTCTCTTGTGAGAGCGAAAATAAATTCAACAAGGGTATTTAAAACACACCCGACGCAAGTTAATTTAGAGGAGAGATTTCTTTTTCGGCGAGAAGAAGTCCGAGCTAGATTAATGACGGCGCATCTCAGGGCAAGTGCCCTTTCTACTTATGCGTCGCGCGTATGCGGGGACTCGTGTAATACCCGTAATATCCATAATTTATTTGGATGTACTACAACACCTTCGCAAACTCATTCACGTTACGAGTTACAAGAAGCGCGTATTTAGCATCGCGATATACCGTCGAGATTCGCGAGTACCGCCGCTCTTATATATACTGTAACGCTTTTTCCGCTCCAAAACAGGGCCCTGCACGGCGTGGAACCTGACGATACACGAGTACAGGAGGAACGGCGACCCCGCCGGATCCAGGCTGCACACGTTCTGCTCGAGGGACACGCACAAGAATTTCACCCTGCCGTGGAAGATGAATACCGTGGTGGTTAGGTGAGTTTCTTATCCCTCGCCCCCCCCCCGCCCCTACCCCTCCGACGAGACGCGACGCGCTCGTCCCGGCCGATTAACCCCGGTGAAAGTTCCATTCCGCGATCTTGTCTATTAGCTACGTTTAACGACAGTTCCGCGACAGTTTCGACAGGAGGGAGATTATGACACGGTCGGCTGAAATATAACGGGGGCGGTTTTACCGGCGCGGAGCGCGGCGCGATCGAGCCCGCGCCGCGGGATGGCCCGGATGTTGTATGCCGCGCGTAGAACCGCGAGGGGGATTGATGCCCGCGCGATCCGTTACTGTCGTCTCGCACGAAGAAATTATCCACTGATTAACAATCGGCCATCGTTCATCCCGCCTTACGGCGGCAATCCCCAGTTACAGTCCCGCGGGCGCATTACCAGAGCCGGCATTACTCCCTCCTGCGCTATTCCGTATAATCTGCGGGATATGAAGAAAAATATGCTTAACAGCAGCTTCTTCACGGGGAGGAGGTGCTTTCTCTCAGTGACTCCTGGCAGTGACCGATTGGCGCTTGAATCGAGCAATGACAGGATCATTTTTATCATTTTTATTTAAGCACCACAAGGATAAATTCTTTTTCCCCGAGTTACAATCTGAGAAATTAAAAGGGAAGAAATACAAGGAGCTCATGCATCGCGCTGCATTCGTTGGGGTAACTCCGGCATAATGTATATGCCGTGCGAGGTTTTACGTCGCAGAAGTCAGTAAAAAATAAAACACGGAAAGAACGATTTTGTTGAAAGATCTAAAAATTTGGCTAAAAACAGATCTGAAAATAATTTTTTATTAAATCATCAAAATAATTTGTTGGAATGTTAAAATTGATAAGCATTGCTATAAAACGTTTTGATATTTTATTTATTACAATATACAATTATTTTGACTTTTGCACAAAATTATTTTGATTATTGAACAAAAATTATTTTCAGATCTGGATTCAGCAAAAGTGTTCTTTCCTTGAAGAAATAAAAAGAATTTTCTCGCAACTACCCTGTTACATGCCTTTATGTTATATTAGTATTACGTTGTGATTTTAGTATTTTTTTTCTGTTAATATTAATAAAATTATTGTACGCTCTGTTATTTATTTATTAATATAAAAATAAATAATAATACGTGATACAATACGCCCTTTATAATACATTAGTCATATTATTTATGTATGTACTTATTCATAATCTGTGATAATACGCTCTTTATTCATTTATTAATAAATAAACGCAAATTTCGTTGTCACACACAAAATTCACGTGTTATTTACTATTATTATTTAGATTAATAAAATATAGATAAGAGTCAGGCCGATAAACGAGCAAAACTTTTTTTGGTCAAATAAATAATAATTTACTTATAATTTAATAATAATTAAAGATTTGATTATCAGTAAATTATTATCTATTTAACCGAAAAAAGTTTTGTTCATTTATTGGCCTGACTCTTATTTATTTTATTGTTTTATACATATACGAGCGGTAATTATTTTGAACGTGAATTATTTAGATTATATCTATATTTTTTTAGTCGTTTATACCATCCGTGAGTAGCCGTATAACACAACCCTATTTATATGTATATATGTGGCAAAAATGCAAAGGTTTAAAGAATTTTTTTTTAATACAAAAAATAAATATTCCGGGTTCTTAATATTTTTTCACAGTAGTAGACAGTATAAAGTTTTTACTGCTATATTTATTTACCTTAAACATAAGAGATAATATCCGACAAATTAAGTTTTTAATAGATACGGCAATATACCGCAGTTATCTCAATAAATAAAGAAAAAAAGCGAAAATCTTTGAGCTCGCAAGCAATGAGGGGTATATTGTCGTGAGGTAAGATCTGGATCTGCTTCCTTTCCAGACTGCAGGCCCTCGGCAGGACGGCGCCGCAGTACACGATGAGATGGCAAAGTCATACGGTGATCGCCAACACTCGCAAAAGCGGACCATCGCCAGCCCCGAACTGGCACGTGGTGCGCTCCTCGAGTAAGGCCGAGCCGCGGGGCACGGCTCTCGTCCTCGTCCTAGTGTTCGCGATCCTACTCGCGCGCCCGTTCGACTGTTGAGACTGCAGTTGAGAGCTCGAGGGGAAGGGCATCGAGGGTCGATGCACCACATACACACGTACTGTTCCTGTTAATCGAAAAGAGCCGCGAAGCCCACGTTATACCTATACTTGTCTCACGTGTACATAAACCGCGGGTGAGGACCTCGTCGCTCCGGTCCTCGTTTTACGTCGCTCGATGTGAGATGTGTTTTTAAGAAGACACGCACGTCCCGGCACCTCTTCCCCCTCCCCCCCCCACCTCCCCTCCTCCTTCGACCGGCGGTCGAGATTTCGCGGGCTGGCTCGTCGTTAATCCCCGCGGCTGCGTAATTAATGATTATCACGAGAGAAATATTTTAGGACGCGGAAGAAGAACGCGTCGCGCGACGCAGGGGGATAAACACCGGGGAGATTTTAACTGATCTCTGTTATATATTTTTCACCGTACACAATGTACGATCCAATCTTATTCGCGCGCGGTGCGAATGGAGAATTGACGAGTCAAGAGTTTTTACCATTCTCCGATCGAATCGTATGCATATACGTTATTATACACACGCACACACACACACACACATACATGTACGTCGAAATTAAAGAGAGTGATGATCAGCACGTTTAATAAGCGATTAGCTCGCACAGCCGACATTGTCGCTCGATCTAAAGAAATGGATCTGTGAGGTTCGTAGATCGTCTCTCCACACCTCGATTCGATTAATTTTGAAACCCTTTATTATATTCTTTGTGCAAATAAATAATGAAAGAAAGTTGTTTTCATAAAGATCTTTCATTACTCTACTCTTCGTATGTGATTGTTATTTTATTCGACTGCAATAAAATGTTACATTTTTATAACGTGCATTCTATATTTAATGTTTTTTGTAATATATAGTTCTTATTAAATTTATTATTTACAATAAAACATTTAATATTTTTTTGTAGAATTCGCACACAGACGTCTAATTTTTCAAAATATTTTTTTATAAACTTACTCTCTGCTGGATTTTTATTAAAGTTTTAGGATTCTATTAAAATCGCGATTCTTCTGATCATTCCTTAAAAAAAAAAAAACATCGCGTACCATTTCTCACTGTTTCATTTTTCACATTTTCATGATTTTCACAGATCTTCCAGTCTTATACTTGAAGCATATTAATGCCAGTGTGATGGCATGTGTATATATTATACATATATAAAGCAAATTAATATGCAAGAACGCGATGCACGGATTTGAAGTAGCGAAAAATCACACGAGTCACCTCTCTCTCTCACACACGCGAATGCCAAATTACACGTGTAAGAGATTACAACCAACGGTAGCGACATGTGTACATAGGTAGCGGCGTTGATAGAATTTGTACAGAACACAATTAATTGTCTATCCTAAGTCTGCGGATTTACTTGTAAAGTAACGATAAGATAAATATACAAATCTTACGCGGCTCCGAAAGGAAGGAAGAGAGAATTGTATTTTAACGAACGAGCTTCGCATGCCCGAAGGCACTTCGCGATTTATTGTTATACGTTTTGTCAGTCGAACGGGATGCCCTCATCTTGACGAAGTTGCCTCTCTCTCTCTCTTTCTCTAACAGAGAGAGAAAGAGAGAGAGAGAGAGAAAGATTCACAATTGCGGACTCACGGCCAAACATTCGTTCTCCAAGTGTCTCACGGGGATGGGGCGCGCCGATTCGCTGGCAAACCAATGATTGATTATTACTGGGGGAAAAAAAGGAAATGAGAAAATAAAGATGCTAGGTCGTAAATATTTAATGTACGCAATTCACCAAAATGCCAGCCAGTAGAACCGAATCGCAGATTCTTGTACTTCGGTTGTACAACAGTGCGAGAGAATATTTCTACGATTTTTCCATTGATTTTTTATAATCCGCAAGAGATCGTTTTTTTACACCTAACTTGTAAGTATAACGCGTAATGTAATGTAACGTGTTGGCCTAAGTGTAATAATACTAGTAATTCTTATGTATTTTCTCTGATCTCTGTATTTCTAAATGCGATGCAAAAATAATTTGTATTACGTTTCGGTGCGTATCGTCCTCGGTAAACTCTCATTTTTATATGACATGTGCATAATTTCGCTTTAAAAATGGATGTGTATAATTACATTGAAATTTTGATGTCTTTCTAACATCGAAGCTGCGTTTTAAATTCCCAGGAAGTAGCGTTAATTTCTTTGAATTTATGCTTTCGTATTCTGCTTCGAAAAAAAAATAAGTCGCGGGAAGTTAGGGCAAACCGATTACTGACACGTTATGCTTCATATCACGAGTGTTGAAGATTTCAATATTTACTGCTGTAAACGAATTACCTATGAACTTGTTACTAAACGAATTGAATTCGTGTTTAGCAATATATAATGCAGAAAAGGGGCACTCATGCGATTACGTTATAATTCATAAGATAAGCGAACCTACGTCGAAGAAAACCTCGTCAAAACAGATATGAAAGTCCGTATACCTACTTAATTATCGCAGAATCGACTGACATTCGAGGAGACCGAAATCGAGGCACAGCAATACATTAAATAATTTGTATAAAAAGCGTAGATTCGAGAGAGAGAAATTAATTTCTCCCAGAGACCGAAATACGACAAATGCCACATGTCTTTGTGTTCATGCAATATTCTCACACATTTGTAGAAATTGTGTTCAACACTGCGCCATTTATACAATAGCTGGCTTTTCGTCTGAAAGGCATACCAATTTTACACAAACGTGCGACCTACGAAACAAAAATACGTGTTATATGTACATGTACTAGCCGCGTATATATAAATATATATATAAGTCACAATAAATAGTCAATTGTTTCATATAAAGTCTAAATAAAGTAAAATGAAACACTAATCGTCCTTCTGCTTTAGCTTCAGGCCAGCACTCGTAATTGTAAGAAAATTTTCTAGATTGTACGCCCCACTTAAAAAGAATTACAGAAAATGAAAAAAAAAATAGATAATATATTGAATAGCAAAACACGAAAAATTGCAATTATTTTAAGTGGCACATTAATGAAAAAGTATAATTATAATTTAAACTAGTGATATGAAAATTTTTTGGATATTTGATTCACAGTAAAAATATATATATACATCTTTTTATTAATGTGTAGCCTTCTACATTTTATACTGATATTTCTGGTTTTATTATGCATTCATTTATGCATCAGTAATATCAAATGCACTATTACGTTGATGAAATGTTCAAGTGGGTAATCGCAATTTTGTCAATTTCTAAAAAGGAAACTAAAAGAATCAGAATACACAGGTAATTAAATTAACACACACGTATTATTAAAGTCTCACGTTTTTTTACAGACAGACCTTTCTTTAACTTAATTTTCAGACAAAACTTTCTTTAAATTAATTATATCAATATTTGCTCGTTTTTAATTTCACACGGACCTGAGTACCGAAGAGGAACAAGATGCATACAACACCGTCAAATTAAACTAAATTAAAATAATTAAAATCCCTTTTTTTTATTATTAAAACCTGCAACGTACTCGAAATACATATTATTAATGTACATAAAACTTGTATATTATTGCATAAAATTTTATATACCATGTATGCGTGCGTGCTCTCACGCAACATTCTGTTTTTGTTATACGATTATTGCGAATATCTTTTGCACTATTAATATATTAATTTCAAAGTGAATTTGTTGTGAAAAATTATGATATATTACGAATATAAAAATGTCACATAATAAATATAGCTTCGTTAAAAAGAACATAATTTATTCACATGTAAGTATGAACGTAATCTACATACATAATGTATATTACACAGTAAAAACGACTGTATGAGACAAGACATTTAAAGTAACATATCTTAAGATATAACATATCTTACAGATATTATATATATAAGATAAGAGCGAGAGGGCAAACGATCAATACTATGATCGTTTTTGCTTACTCTGAGTGGGCTGTGCGTTTACTCTCACGGCGTCTCATTCTCGCGGCGCTGCACGGAAAAAAAAAAAAAACAATTGGACGTAAATGCGTGATCAACACACACACACACACACATACTCACAAACACACACAGCGCCAGCTTCGAATTAACTAAATTGCTACATATTTAAATTTAAAGATCGTAACCGTACAATCTGGTACGTTTTGACATAAAAAGAAATAGGAATAATGAGGAGAGATCGATATACATACAATTGATAATTAATGACATATGGGGATAAAAAGTAATTTGCTCTAAGTAACACCGGTTTCACTTTTCTAGACGATTATATAATATCTAATAAAATATATACAATTGCGTTAAATTCGATATTACAATGGAAACAAATAAAATATATATATATATATATTATTATATATTCGTTATATATAGACACAAATCTTGAATATTACTTTGAAAAGGAGTTAAATTTTAACTCCGTAATAACAACGCTGTGGCATGCAATGTTCAATTAATGCATCTATATATCATAATACAATAACACAACTTGATTTAAAATTTATAATATGTCAACTATCAGTTTATATATTAACAATCAATAGTCGGACAACAACATTCTAAAACTCGTTCATCAGAATCTGAAAATTCAAAAAGATCTTTCCTATTCATATTAGATAGAGTCCATTGATCCCTATTAATTACCATGTTTTCGTTAATTATATTGGTGATATCTCGCTCGTGATTATGATCGCCTTTGTGTGTGAACAATTGAATCAACAATCTGATATCCCAAATGCAAATTTCAATCTTTCGCAATTATGCATATATCATCTAACCGTACTTATATAAATCGTCATTAACAATGTATGTCGATCTAAATATTGCAGGATACAACTTCAACGATTTTTATGAAATTAAAATTTGAGCGTTTTATCATTACGAAATTAGATATATATTAAAGCATACATATGTTAAATAATGTTCTGTGTGTTTCATCGCATTTATACACAAAGTTAAAAAAATAATCATTTGTAATTAACCATTAAAGAATGTGATATCGACAAAACAGGAATTGTTCTGAACTAAACAGACATGATCTAAACATATATAATAATTAAATATATAATACAGAAAACCTGTACAATTTTAAAAAAATATTTTTAATCATATTTCTAGACTAAAAAAAAATCTTTATTATCTACCAAAAGAAAATTCGTATAACACAACCATGCGCTTGAATAACGCAAAAGAGAATATAAAATTTATAATACGCCGATATTATAATCTATATTTAATATATCCATTTGGATACGTATAAATATTATAATAACAAAACGTAATATAGTGATCACATAAAAACGAGATTATTCTAAAAGACATTAGAATTATTACCCTACGACATTTTAATAATTGGAAGTTTTTTAAGTAATTTATCATGATTCTAGTATATCAATGTGGATACGGTTAAAATTTCTCTATATATGCATAACAATATTCACACAATTGATAGACAATGCAATTTACAGTATTCGAGTTCCTTGGTGACTGGCCGATAAACTTGGGCCGAGAGCCTTTACAGTGAAAAGGAGAATGGATAATCTTAATGCCCTAAGCGTCGTATTTTACTTTCATTAAAATTAGGAACAAAACCGTAAAAATGCCTCGGGTTCACCCACTCGGTAAAACATTCTCGTGCCTTTAAATGCCAGTTAAAAACACACGAATATCTTTTTACGTATGGTACTGTCTTGGAGTATCAAACTGAGATTCGTCCAGAATAAGAGGAAGACTATATAAAATATATATGCATGTCTTAAATTTACGAGGGTATATTATGCAATATTGCGGAAGCAGAATTCAGAAGGCCTAGCCGCTGCTTCTGCTTTCGTTGCTCCGTCATCTGTTACGAAGGAGAAAGAAAATTATATGATACTTATATATGTACTTCAATATCACTTGACCGTTCAATTTCTTCTCGCTCTAATGCCTCTCTAATCGATATAATTTGAAGGATCGGTGATTATTACCTGATCACGAAGCTCCGTAAGTTGCTGGGACAGACACTTAACCAGCATCTGCGTGGATTCTAATTGCGACTGCAGACTCCTCAATTCCACCTGTTCCCCCTCACCTTCGTCCGCCGCCAATGACTTGGCCCGCAATCTCGGGAACCACTCCAGATTATGATCCTGTGAAAGTACATAGAGCTTAAAGATATAAGCATCGCCCAAAGTCATTTCAAGCTCTATGAACTATTACCTTGACCATGGCGTAAACATACGACTCCGGACCCGTGAACTCCGTCGGGTCCTTCACCTTCACCAGGACGATGAAATAGAGGTAATGCCACATGTTGTGCTCGTGTTTCGTGTGCTCCTCGAAGGAAACTGTTTTGTTATCGAAAGCCGATCTGTTCAAGCCTGCAATGAAACGAAACAATTCAACGTAAGAGAAAATCGTAAAGGCATATCCATATAATTTGTAAAAGTTATAAAAAAATCGATGATATCGATTTCAATAAACAATTACCGCAAATAAAACAAGTGTTTTTCAAGATCAATTCCTTCTGCTGTTTCTCCGATCTGAGATCCGCAAACGTGTCGATAATCACACCGAAGATGAGATTCAGAACAATAATTATCACGATGAAGAAGAATAGTAAGTCGTATACGACTCTTGCAACAAACAAAGGTTCCTGGAATTATAACAAAGATTTTTTTTTTTTATGAGGTTTACCATGACTTTTGATATCTTCGTACTTACAATGCTGGCGGGGGCACGCAGAATGTCTCCTATCCCACCACCATTTCTCAATCCTTGATTTAACGTGGTAACGATACACATGACGAGTGAATCGCACGCTCGCTCCTTCAACTCTCCGCCGATGTTAATTATTTCGGGCTTATTCTCTCGTGCATTTGCTGAAATTAATTATATTAATTTACTTCAATATACTTAAACATTCAAATAAAAAAATTATACAATGATTAATAAGATTGAACGGTCAAAAACGGGCAATATAATTAGTAAAATATTTGTAAAAATTACTTTATTAATTAATTTTTTAGTAGTAAAACGCCACGAAACTAGTTTCGATCCTTACTAGGACTTTTTCAATCGCATTAATAATTAAACATTGAAAATACACGTTATGTAGTCAGTAATTAAAATAAAATGAATTATACAGAATCGCATAAATAATCGAAAGAAACATAGTCAAAACAATAAATGAATTTCACCAGAAACGGAGTCATATGTGTAAAGTTGTGTTTATAATTTCCGCCAAGTGACATCTAATAATTGAATTTAATGTGATTTATTTCGTATTATGAATTGTTTTGTATCGCAATCATCTAAATAACAATCAAAAGTGATAAAAACTTACATTAAGAGTCTTAAGTATGGAAATATGATAGTGTTCACAAGTCGGTGTCTATACTGACTACATAATGCGTATTTTCAATGTTTAATTGTTAAAGCGATTAAGAAAGTCGTAGTAAGAATCAAAACCAGTTTCATGTTTTATACTAGAAAATTAATTAATAAGGCAATCAATTATATTGCTCGTTTTTTATCTCGTTCAATCTTATTAATTATTGTATTTACAACGAGCGAAAATTATTAGATTAATAATTTTCGGAAAAAAATTATATTAATACAATATCTACCTTCGCTAGCATAACGTGACACAGTCTCCGTAGCTTCACAATCCTCCTTGTTGCCAGCGCTACAAGTATCCGCGATTGTCTGCTCAATGGAAGCTACAGAAATGAAATAAGTTTTAGAGTCATTGTTCACAGAGTTGAGCAGCCGTATAAAACCAGCCGAGAGGATTGAACTTACATATAATCTCCTCGTCCACGGGAACGAGGAAGTCGTCTTTGAAAAACATAAAACCGATAATGGAAAACATGTAAACCAAAATCAAGGCCAGCACAGCCGTGAGTATGATAGATCTTCCATTTCGAGTTACGGATTTTATTACATTGAGCAAAGTCTCCTCGCGATAAACTACGTCGAAGAGCTGAAAGAAAACGGACGATATTATAATTCTGCGCGTGTTTGTAGAAAGAGTGCGGGATCATGCGGTTTACTCTGTTACTTACTAGAACTGAATAGAAAAATGGATGCATAAAGATTCCCAGAACGCAAAACGCCAAATATGACATGTGATACAAAAGTTCGATATTCGTTATTATTTGCTCTACGCTTCTGGTCAGGGTACCCTGATTGCCTATAATACTTATAAGATGTACAGCTTTTAATGTAATCTGCAACATAGTTACGATGCATTTGGAAACGAGCATACAAATGACGTATACACATTACACATGTAATTACATCACGCGTTTGAATTCTGTACGTGTGTCATTACCGTAACAAAACCGAGCAGCCACAATGTCGGTTCTGGACCTACGGAGAAGATCAATCGCAATATCGTTGACGCGACAAACGTACGTATACCGGACTCCCTCGGCAAAGTGAGAACGATGGCAGCAGACGCGAGCATGACCGTCCAAATTAAAGCTGACAGATGATAACTGAGTTCTAAACGTGAGACAAAGATATCGCATTCGTTATATCTCAAGACTATCCAAGAGCCTCGTTAATCAACAAAAAAAAAAAAAAAAAAAAGAAAACTTACTAGGCACAGAATCCACAAACGGATAGAAAAATGCTACGATAAGGTTTATAAGAACGGCGCAGTTGAACAGAATGTTGCTCCACAGTGACATGTAACTGCTCATCCAGAACAACATTGGTTGTCCTGTTAAAAATAAAAATTGACAATATGAAAATTCATTTGACATTTCAATTTATTAATAACCGGACGTACCTCTAAGCTTCTTTTGCCACTTCATTTCGTTAAACATGTCTTCCGTTCTCTCGAAGAAATCGGAAACTTTCGAGCCTTGATCGTCCCGTTCCGTAGTGTTCAGCACTCGTATTTTGGTATCCTCGGTTATAAGCTCGCAGATTTCCGGTATCGGGAAGACAATTTGTTCGAGCGTTCTGTCGTGTCTTACAATCTGAAATGTGAAAATATTGGGTAAAGCATGTTACCTCTCGAAACAAATTCTATTTCCATTTATAGTGAATGAAAACCGCAGCACCTCAATTTGAGCCGTATGAGACGCATAATATTCCAGTGCTTTGTTAATTTTTGGATCTGCATTATTCTGTTCTGACGGCTTCAACATCACTGCCAATTCTTTGTTGTGTTGCGCCAATTGATGACACAAGATGTAGATATTATGCCCAACCTGTAAAGTACGTAAAATTAAAATAGATTAATTAAAATAAAATTGAAAATATCCGATACTCGGTAAATAATACATTAATAAGAAGTAAAGAGCTGTGAGCCAAAGTAGGATGTTCAATGCTTCAAAATAACTTTGAATTGCAATATAGACAACAGACGTTTCGACCCGAAATAAGATCATTCTCAATGTTAAGACAAAAAATTACTTATACATAATCTTATACATAATCTATAAAATTACTTATACATAATCTACAATATACAAATAATCTACAAACAAAATTTGTCTTACAAACAACAAGATTATTTTTGTTATCAAACCGTTAAGATGGCCGAATTTTGTTTGTATATTATATAAGTAATTTTTTTGTCCTAACATTGAGAATGATCTTATTTGGGCCGAAACGTCTGTTGTCTATTTTATAATTCAAAGTTATTTTTACTTGGAGCATTAAACATCGTCAGGGTTGCCACAAATTCTTCATTCTAAAATTCCATGACTTTTCCCTGACTTCCAGACAAAATTTCATAATTTTTCCTGACTTTCAACAATATTTAAAAAATTTTTTATATATTCGTTTAATTTGAAAACTATTTAGAAACCGTTAATATTTTGTTGAGAAAGCAATTTAACATAGCAATGTAAATTACTATTACTGTTGTTGACATTGCTTGCACTTATTTGTTAAGTTGTTAGTATTCCTTTATCTTTTTCTTTTATATATACGCACAATTCTTTTCCTTTGTTTACAATACAAGAAAACATGTAAATATAGATTCTTTTTGAAAAACTAAATCCTATTTGGAATCTCCGACTTGCTGTTATACAAAGATTTACAAACTTGAAAGAAGAATTACAAAAATATGAAGTCAATTTTAATTTTATTAATTTGTTCACAAATGGCACAAGAAACTTACAAGTTAAAAACAAATAGTTTTAAACAAATTTAAAATTCCAACAAAAAGTAGACAAAATAAAAATTATAATGCTCTTAGTGAAGCATTTTAAATCTCTATTAAAAAGAGAGTTTACAGATCGGAAGAGCACA